ATACTTATTCTCAATATGAAGGTTTTATACTGGTTCTGTTTGTTTAAATGACGAAAATTAATCCCTGGGAATTCTGAAGACACAAAGGTGGCTTATGAGCTCCCCTGAATCATTCTCCGGAGTTGAGGGAGGAAAGCTTATATTTACTTCAAGGTGAATGTATAAAGGCAATGACAGTATGTAGGAAAAGGAATAAATATGGAATTGTATTCTACATAGAAAGAAACGCATTGGAAAGAAAAACATCTTTTTTGTGTGTGTGTGCTTTAAATATTTACCTGGAACACTGATGTAACTTAGGCCTCATAAATATGCTAATGACCAAAGTGCCAGTGAAAACTCGTCAAAAGTTGGAAGGTACAAAGAAGCACAGAGTTGATTCAGAAATGAAAGGAAAGTACTATGGCTCGGGAGGACTTCATACAACGTTTTTTTCAGACACTTTCACGATTATTGAAACCGACTCGAAGTAATGATCAAGAAATAAAAGGGAGATGTACCTTTAAATACGGAGAGGAAACCTACAGTATATGATGTGGGGTTTAAAGAATGTGTGCAATAGGGCACTCTAGATGTCAAGAGAAAAATCTGTATTTTTCAGTCTTCTGGGAAAAATTGCATGATGACAGAAATTTATTCAGAAAGGTTAATTTTATCTATTTATTAAGATATTTTCACGTTTTTTTTTAATATTTTTTTACTCTTGAGAGACAGACAGACAGAACATAAGTGGGGGGAGGGACAGAGACACACACACACACACACAATCCAAAGCAGGCTCCACACTCTGAGCTGTCAGCACAGAGCCTGATGAGAGGCTCGAACGCACGAACAGCAAGATCATGACCTGAGCCGAAGTCGGTCGTTTAACTGACTGAGCCACCCGGGCACCCCAGAAAGGTTGATTTGTGATTTGAGTGCTTCCTATACAGTTAAAATCCTCGTAAGAGACACTCCCATCCAACTTTTAACCTATAATCCCAGATAAACTCACTGCATAGACGTCTAACTTGAGAATGATCCTAGTCTCAAGATTGTTTAAACTCTACACATTTGTCAAAATAGACATCTGCCATTAAAAACAACAGAAACAAACTTTTTTTTTTTTTTAAGGGCAAAACATCCTTTTGAGTGACTGGGGAAAAACTGTTTTATGATAGACATGATTAGTAGGCCTTGATCAAGAAGGGTAAAGCAAGTCATTGGACCTTCACATTCATGTGCAAGCCAGGATGGAAAAGCAGCAAGGTATTTTCTCGAAGCACATGGACCTCATACTCTCTTTTGATTGAGTGAAAAATAAAACCAACGTATAACTTTGAGATAAAATCAACAAATACCAAATATTCTGAATGCTGTATTATTAAAGCACTTGGAACGACCTTTAAAGGTCAATTAAAATTTTCTCAAGGGAATCCATGGCCTTTGTTTTTCCTTACCTGATTAGTTAGCCCGGCCCAGCGAAATTAAGCATGCAGTGCCTTTCACTATATTGTCAAGAAATTTAGTGATGTCATAAATACATTCCATTATTCAAGCAAATGGTATTTAAAAATGGGTATCTCATTTATCACCGGTAAATTCTTTTCTTTCTCACTTTTTGCTATAAAAACACTGAAAACATTCCAGCTCCCTGTCAACACTGAGTTTATCCTGGCAAGTAGCCTGGTGAGAGCCTGGCTTTCTGAAGAGCTGAGTCACATTACCATGTGCGGTATGTTTGGTTTGTTTCTCCTCTCTTATTTTCCTATGTAGGGATAAATCCATAGGAGGAAAATAGCATATAAAGTCCTTTCACGTGATTAAGTATCTGCATGTGTGGACTGGACTGGGCATCAGAAGTCCCGTTGTGAACCCATCTTGGCTTTTCCGACTTTTGCCAAATCACTTCTTGATCAGTCCTGATCAGAAATACAAAACGTACCAAGTCCTCCCGACCATAACAGAATCATTTGGCCAAGGCGTGTGAAAATTTGTGACGAGTGAAACATGATTACAAATGTTAATTATTCTCAAAGTTTTGAAAGAAACAGATAAAATATAATGGGTTAGAAACCAGCACAGAGAAGATTTAGAACGGATAGAGGAAAATCGGTTGAGATATTTCGGAAGAGGCCTGGATATCAATCATATCTGCTTAAAGGTGTTTGTTGTTGTTTTACAGGCAGGGAGAAAGATGAAGGAGAGTAAAAGAATATGAATGAGAAGTCCTGTATACATGTGTAAGTTTTATACTAAGTGTGGAGAGAAAGCAACCCCACTTTTTTTTTCTTTTATTTTATAGGGCTGCCTGGGCAAGACTATTGGCCTCGAATTATTCCTCATGCCACAGAGATCATCATATCCCCTTACATGTACGTTAAAGCCATTACAGAAATTCTTTAAAATGTAAGTATTACCCAGGAAGGCTATTGAACCATTTTCAGCTATTTCACTATCCAATTACCCCAACAGTGTTTTAAGAGAAAGCACTGCAACAAAGCGATTTTTCCTAAATAAAGAATAAAAGAATAGGGCTCCAGTTCCAAGCTTCAGTAGATAAACAAGAGGAAGTGCCTGGAGAGCAAACAGTCTAAGTAGGGACACTGAAGGAAAGACAAGAAGGGAGTATTTAAGATGTATTAGGAGCCGCTGAAATCAGAGTTGTGTTACCTGCACCCACAGGGAAATCCCCCGGGTGGGTGCATGGATACCACAGAGCGACCATCTCTACCCAGAGCTAAACAAGATACTATGCCTTCATTTCCATTTCCAACATGTCAATATCTTACCAGGTAAGTGCACCCAAGGGAAAGTTTACAGTCACGAAAGAAAAAAGGACCAAGCACACCATAACATCATCGTTGTATCAGAGAGAACAATAAGGAGTTTGTCTGAGGCTGTGTGTACCTAGTAAGAGATTTACTCTTAGAAGAAAGCCGATAACTAAACACTTTCAGAATCTTTACATCAGTCTTGCAACATGGGTATTTTTATTTTTTAAGTTTATTTATTTTGAGAAAGGAAGAGAGAGCGAGCGAGTGAGCGTGTGCAATCAGGAGAAGGACAGAGAGAGAGACAGTGGGGGAGAGAGAGAGAGAGAGAGACAGTGGGAGAGTGGGGGGGGGGAGAAGGAGTGGGAGGGGGGGGAGGGAGGGGGGGGAGAGAGAGAGAGAGAGAGAGAGAGAGGGAGAGAGACAGAGAGAGAGGGAGAGAGAGACAGAGAGAGAGGGAGAGAGAGACAGAGAGAGAGAATGAATACCAATGTCATGCTGTTGGTGCAGTTAGACACAGGCCTTGATCTCAAGAACTATGAGATCATGACCTGAGCAGACATCAAGAGTCAGAAGCTTAACCAACTGAACCACCCAGGTGTCCCTAACATAGGTATTTTTATATACAGTTTGAAACATGATGAAAATGTCCCAGAGAGGTTAAGGAGCTTGCCTAAGAGATCACATAGCTAGTGAGAGCTGAAGCGAGGTTTATAAAAGTGAATTTTAATTGATCCCAAATCTGTGTTCTTTTCACCAGAACCTTTGTATGGAGAGAAGGGAAAAGCTGGGAAATATCTGAATATTTTGCACAGAAGTGATCCAGAGTAGTAATGTAGTCTGAACACGGACTGTGACGGCTGTATAACTTATGATATACATGTGAAGATTAAACTTACACACAGAACTTTGTTGTAATTTTATGATAGCTAATGTCCCCAGTGGCATGGAAGAATTGCAGATTACTGAAAATACTTGATCACTTCTTTAACACTTTTATGCGCTCCTGCCATAATATTCCAAAGCTTTTAAAAGTAATAGTATTTTTTGTCTCTTCAAAATGCATGCCTTTGTTAACTCAATAAAATGACAGGATGGTTAGCATGTTGTATACCAGACTGATTTTATCATCTGATCGTAGAAATTGAGGCCAGGTAAAGAAACAACTATTAGGCAAAGAAAACAGCTATCATTTGTGAATTTACTCATCTTAACAACAGAATTACACACAGAGCCACTCTGTTACTATAATCCACGGCAGAGTTCAAATGCCTCGAGGGCAATGTGTTTCTCTCGAAAGCAAGTACGCAGGTATGAAAAGAAAAAAGTGATGGTTATACACGAACAAATATCACTAAGTGAGACCTAGAGCCAAGACGAGTAATCGAGATCGATGATGGCTATGGGACCTGTTGGAGGGCATCTTCTGAAGAACTAGACCATGACTTTTTACACCAATGCAGACCCGATGCCAGGTACACAGTAAATAATAAATCCATTATGTTTCAAGTGCCTGACTGAATACTTGGAGAAAGGCGAGTTAAGAAACAAACCTGTTCAATAGTCATTTCCTACTACGTAATACAGATACACTATACTTAAGTATTTAGTTTATTACTAAATGGGTTCTTCAAAATCTAAATGTGAGGTTGAGTCAGCAGTAACATTTAACTCCTGGTAAAACCTAATAAATCACTAGACTTTGAAATGTGTATGTATTCAAGTAAAGACTACATATCATATCATTGGCAAAGATGTTTTTACAGCAAAAAGTTTTTTATCCTACCTTGCAACATTTTGTCAGTTAAACATTTTTAAACTTCAAAATGACGAAACTATTCTCGGATTTAAACCAACCAAGTAACAAAGACTGATAACCAAAAAAAACCGCAGCCCCATCCCAGGTGGCTGGTAATTTCCTTGAAAATGGTTGAAAACAGTCTGGAACTCAAACAAATGTGGTCAAACTGAACTGTATTCTTTGTATTTTACTTCAACAAGTATTTCTTTTAAAATCACCAGGTTAATTAATTATTCTTACAAAATAGAAAAATGTGCCAGTTGGTCTTTTCTTCGTAAAGTCTGCATCATGAACAATAATCCGGAGCTTAAGATAATTAATACTATATATCCTTGCCTTTGAACATCACAGCTGTCAGCCACGGGGCTTTAAAATTAATAGGCCCTTCAAAGCTATAAATAGGAAACCATGATAATTTTATATAATATTTCTTAAAAGGCACTTACCTTTTGGAAGAAAACACTTCTGGCAGCAAATTACCTGTTAAAATAAAACATACCATTTATTGGTATCCAGTAAATAATATGAAGGATGATACACTATTATAGTCAGTACCATTACAGAGCAACTTTAAAAACTTTTCTTGATTCCATTAAGTTTTTTTTTGTTTTTTTTTTTTGTTTTTTTAGTACAAATTAAAATCATCTCCTTGGTTGTAATAATTAAATGCTTCTCTGTTAAATGCATGTTCACTGAAATCACAAAAGCTAATGAGTTTCATGTCTGAGAGCAAAAAGCAGAAATTACAGGGCACATTATCCAGGTCATGGGTGTAGATCCCAGCATCTTCCCCTCCCGACTATAATGAGAAGCATGTGAATTAATGTCTGTACAGAAGTTTTAAGGTCTAGGTGTCACTGAGGATTTCATCTCCACTAAATTCAAAATAACTTCTACCTGGTGGTATTTTATTTTTTATCAAATCTTCAAGTGTTGCATTAGTTATTTGAGTCTCTTATGTACTTCTCACTGAACTACATTCAAGTCTAAGAGATTTTTTATTTACGATACCCTCATAAATATCATGGAGGTGAAATATAGTCATGGTTCATGTAATATGCAGTAAAGAAACAAACTGGCTGGAATCAATATAATATGTTATCCTAATCAGAGGCAAAGGAGGGATATGCTGGTAGTGGAAGAAACTCTTGATGGTTCTTTCATTCCCACAGGATTCAAACTTGTTTTTTCAGAAGTGAAAATCTAAAAGATGGGAAAACTTTTCCTGGGAGTTTGGCTTGTTTCATTATATAATACTATACATGTGTTATCACCACCACCCCCTCCACCAACTGTGTGTATATGTCACAAAGGCAGACATGCAGATGCCTCAAATTACAGGAAAAAAAAGAAAAAAAAAATAACTGAGTTTTATTTAAAACAACCAAGTAACAAAGACTGATAAGCAAAAAAGCCACAGCCCCATCCCAGGTGGCTGGTAATTTCCTTGAAAATGGTTGAAAACAGTCTGGAACTCAAACAAATGTGGTCAAACTGAACTGTGTTCTTTGTATTTTACTTCAACGAGTTTTTCTTACAACCAGGAAAATGTAAAGGCTTGAAAAACTGATAAACGTTTAGAGACTCATTTGTAAACAGAGGTAGCTCTTGTTGTAAATTCATCTGAGTTCACTTGAGTGTTAAATTGTCTGAACAGCAAAACCACTTCTGACTGTAGTCCAAGACTGATTCTGTGATCAGATTCAGAAACGGGGAGGGTTTCTCAGGGTTGCTCAGAGATGGACAGAGTCCAGCCTGGTAATGCTGCTGGCTCCCCAAGGTAGGCTGCTGCCCTGTGAGGGCTGTGCACTGTGGGCTCCATGCTTCCTTGTGCTGCTGTGGGAGCCTGATGCCAGCATGGGGCCAAATCCCCACTCTGAAGGAGCCCTCCCAGCAATTAAGGGAAAAACAGATTCAGAGTAAATGAAAGAATTAACAGAAATATTTACTTGTCCACAGACATGATTTCCAGATACCTCTTTGCTTTGATAAAAATAAATGCATTCAGGACAAAAAAAATATTACCAAGTTGAGTTCCGTGAATTCTTAAAAATAAACAGTTTGCCTCTCCCACTAACCACCACCATAGCTCAGTTTACACAATCCCGCACGATGCTATCATTTTAGTGAGCTAAAGGGTCTCCACCATTCTGCTGCTGTTCATGCAAGTTACCCTAACCTTAATCAATTATCTATATATGTGTCACGGTATTCTTCCAAAAAAAAAAGTAATAAAAGCAGATATCATCAAAATTCAGTCCTTCTTAAATATTGCAATATGTTTTGTTGTTAGTACTCACAGAGCAAATTTGAAAACCCTTGACATGGCTTCCAAGATTTGTTCTGAATCCTGCTGAACCCCTGGGCCTAATCTCTCACAACAGACTCCTGTATCCTAATACTAAAGGGCAATGGCCCTTTGCATACACCCCCACCCCCACCCCACTCCACAAATTAGCTTCTCTCTTTTTGGTCTCAGGGTCAGGACCTTGGCAAATGTGAAAGCAGATGAAGCCCTTCCATGTATCTCTTGACCTAACTTATAGATCTCAAACATTCCTTCTTCAAAGTCTTCCCACAAATCCTAAACTGGGTGTCTTTTACAATCTAGTGATTGTGGTTTGCTCAGTGTTGCCTTTTTAAATACTGTAGAGAGAAGTGTTGAGCTTTGCTTAGTTCCCCTATGGAGAAACATAACATTTCTCATCTAACCAGAGAGTTTCGAACTGAAAGAAGGCACTAAGCTGACTAGATGCCAGTACAGAACATGTGATCCAGGACAGGTCTGAACACCCTTGGGCATACGGTCAACTCCCCATGGAGGAAAAGTCAGCATTTATACAGAGGGTAGCAAGGTTAAGGCTCCTCACGTTTAACCGAGGGGACAAAGTGCAAACAGTTGATGAGCTTTCAAAGCTGAGGGTGACTCATATAACATGTTCCACCAAGTAAAATGTGAAATAGCCTCACTGTTGTTTTACTCTACTAAACTATGGAGAAAATCTTTAAACATCTAAATATCAACACAGTATCCAATGAACATCCAAGGTTATCACCAGCCGGCACACAGCCCAATTACAGCCACCAATTAAACTCTATCTGGGCTAATTTCTAGGCAAGCCAGGAACTGCCACTTTTCAGTCTCTTGATGACCTCCTCTCTGCCACCAATATATTCAACACTTGTCGGCTTATTTCCAACCAAGGACTGCCACAGCTGACATGGACTCCTTCACTCCAGCGTACTGATTAAGGACTGGAGAGGAGGAGAGTAAAAGAAATGGACTTTCAGCACTTCCAAGACCTCCCCACCCTCTTCGTAACCAGATCTACAAAACATCCATCCTCTTTGAGAAGATTTCAGGGTGAAGTCCAAGCACAGTTTTAGTGTAACAACAGTAGGATTCCCTTCAAATAATCAGCTTTCAACTTTCCAAAGAGATGGGTAAATAAAGAAATGACTACATAAGAATCTGGGTCCTTCAAATAGGCCACCTTTCTTTTTCTATGTTTAGTACTCTGGTTGAGTGTGTGTGTGTGTGTGTGTGTGTGTGTGTGTGTGCGCACACTCCAGTCAGGGAGACGGGGGAGAGAGATGTTCTTGAAACACTGGGTTAGCAAGGTCATTTATTTTCCCTTCTTTGGAGGTTGAAGTGAAAGTGTGAATCTTCAAGTCTGAATGGGATTTAATCAGACAGTGGCAAACCGATAGATAAAGGCCAGAGACACGGGAAACCTGACAGCCTAGAGTATTACTAAGTAGATCACTATGGCCTAATTAGAGGGAGACTTCGGAAGAAGACCAGAAATAGTGAAGGGCCCAGATCTTTAGGCAGTGTAAAGATAAGTCTACTTTTTAAATTGAATGATATAAAGGATTTTAAAAAGGAATGTATAGAACATATTTTTGGTTTTGATAATCAGGCAAGCGATATGAACGATGCTTACAGTGGGATGAAACACATCTGTGAAGAGACTGTGGCAGTAATTTAAAATTGAAGTGGTGACAGGCTCAACTGGGACAAAGTCAATAGGGGAGAAAAGAAAGGAGATTTCCCAGGTGTTTAAGAGAGAGAATTCATAGACAGTTCTGACCATCTAAGAACAAAGGGTGACTCATGTTTAGCTGGAGTGACTAAAGCACCAATAACCAAATTACTGATTATTTAGAAAAAAAGAATGAAAGAAGATGACAATGAGTTTCAGATTGTTAAAGTTTCAGACTTTTGAAGCTTAACAAAAAATTCAGCAGGCATCTCAGCCCCTAGATATACATTACTCTAATTTTATAACTAAGGAAATAAAAACTAAGATATTTGAAAACTTAAGGTCATACAGCTGCTGTGTGGTCCAAGAAGGAGTTTATTTTAACTTCCTTGACAGAAAATTTCATTCCCATAATAGAATTAGCTCTTTGGCTTTGTAAACTCATGCCTAATTACCACAGTTTCTTCATCTATGATGCAACGATGGTATCTAATTTGATTAGCTGAAATAATGTAAAATTAAGATTTAGTATATAAAAAAAAAATCTCTCCAGTGAACATTTTAGTTGTCTTGGTGCATATACTTTTGAATACTAATTATTGACCAGCAACTACTGTGACAAAAATACTATGCATGTGTGTATGTGTATATATAACCTTATATATGTATATATCTATATATATAACCATATACTGGATAAATACACACATATATACATGTACGTGTGTGTGTGTGTGTGTGTGTGTATGTGCGTGTGTGTGTGCAGCTCTGCCCCACCATTCTACATTGATTCCATTTAATTAGGAAATCAAAAACCATGTCCATATCTACGTTGGTGAAAACAGTGGATATGGTGCATGAAAAGAGACCAGATGGCTCTTAACGTTAAACCGGCTACCTAGCAAGACATTTACTCTAAATTTTTTATTTGTTTCAGGCTGGCTTCTCATATTCTTTTCATGTAGATTCTCATTTGTGCATTTCATGGTTGTTATGTGAATCTGTTGCTACCGAATAGGTTGAATCTTAAGCCTTTTGTAAAAATTAGTATGGTTCTTTGTGGTTATAAATAACAAATGTATTATTTTAGATAGAAAGGACAACTAAAGGGTTTTTTGTTACCTTTCTATTCTTAAACTTTGTTCATGTTGATTTATTTGGATTGTTAATCATCACCAAACTTAAAAGATTATCTCAAATAAGAGCATGTCATGTCTTGTCTATTTTGTTGTTTGCTAGAAATGGACCATTATGCTGCCAAGATATATTGTGAGAACAATTTATTTTCCTGGTTTTCACCCTTCCCCACTCTACTATGGAGAGCTGTGTTAGTGTTTTCATCTAAAGTCTTGAATTTTCAAAGAGGATTAAAAAACAAGAATTGGTCATGCATACAATAAAGCTAAAATATTTATCATTGAAGTTAGTGAAGGGTTGAGACATGTTTAATTGTGCAGCGTATACAGCAAAAAAATCCACTTGTAGAATTTTAAA